TTTAAACTTCTCGAAGTTGTAGTTGCACGCGGAATATAATATTTAAAATTGCCATTCTCCACAGACTAACTTACGCAGCTCTTGTTTGGTGTGGAAAATATATGTACTACAGAGCGGTAATTCTTAGAAAAGGTCACTTTCTCTATCGATTTAAATTACTACAGACTCACAGATTCGTAGAATTAGCAACACTCAAACAATGTGAAAAGGTCACCTCTCACGTGACGTGATTCCTATACTTAGTATACAGCAGCAACATAATGCGGAACAAATTAGAATGAAGTATATCAGCCACAGTTCAACACACCAGCCCAATTCTAGAGCGATTTCAAAGTAAAGGCTGAATAATGTTAAAAAATTCATTGTTTTAAAAAGTATTATCGAGTAGAATATGAGCATGCCCAAATCAGACATGGAGTGTTATATTGGAGCGTATTCTTGTCGAAAAAAATAACAAAATGTAGACATTTTATGTAAATTACTAAACCTAAACTACACTTAATATAACTAATTTTAGCGAATTATATATTTTCCGGACCGTGTGCATTCCACGTCTTTGTACATTCAAGGAAAATCATATCGCATTACTACAGCAAAATCCGAAGCTGAAAAAGATTTGTCCCATGTTTTCTATGTAGTCTTTAACATTTGTGACATACTAGTAATCACTTGATCACACAATTGTCTACAATCACGATGCGATGACTACAATGTGATGAACCGCCCCATGCGTTTTTTGAATATCATTGCCTACATGTATATACATCTGCGTTCAAAAGATTCTTTAAATATGTTTTGCTGAATAACATGCTAAACTTGTTTATTTCAGTTAATTTTACGTATTATTGATGAAGATCGTCGCCAACGCAACAGAAAAAGACGACCAGGTATTAAACTAAGTGTATTCACTCTTGTAATGATGTGTGCATGTCGTATTTCATGATTACGAATGTACATTGTACACATAGGAAATAAATAACAGGGAATGTGTTATTGTCTCTAGATAGGACAACTCTCACAGTCGGTGCAATTGAACGACTGGTTTCTAACATTATCAAGCAAAATAAAACAGAGCATGCGGTGGATACAGGTAGCAATTCCAACACTATGCCGTCAACGAGTATTATTACTATAGCCGTGCACTTGACCGGACGACCGTCACTGAATGGATTTACTGATAGTAAGGATGGTTATATTGTTCATAATGCGGACACTAAGCTTGATATGATATGTTGTTAATTATTTCACGGACCGACGTTGCAACATGGACCAAAAGTGCAACCAAAAACCAATTTCCAATTTCCATTAAGTGGGAAAGTAGGATTTTGAGGTTACTTCACCTCGTCGAACCTCGTTACAATAATCCCTGATGACGGAAAACATATGCGATATAAAAAAAATGTGATGACAGTGTCACTAACTGAATCTGATCAGATTCTCATTCAATCCATAATCAAACAATATACGGTCCTTGTATCTCATGTTGTATAACTCGCTACAACATGGAGGATGACGTCATAGAAAGACGAAAAAAGAGTCCTAACGACGACGACAACAGCAACGACGACGACAAAAACAACAACAACAACAACAACAACAACAACAACAACAACAACAACAACAAACAACAACGGCGATATTCCTTGTGCGTAAGTTAAGCATCCCTACAATAGCTCAGAAAATATTGTAAGTCTTGTGAGTCACGTTTCTGCACATGACACGATTAGTGCAAAGTTGCACAAATCGTCAACTAATTTCACACGTGTAGTTAATACCCGATGGTTACATAAAATATGCGGTGCTATATGCATTCTATAATTTTATAGCATTCATAATTGTTATAAATTAATAATTGTGTTTGTCTTTATTATATATCCAGAAAAAGGTGTAATCATTTTATTTTAGTGGTTCGCTTTTGCTGCTAGAATTACCGCAGTTGTTTTCCAATGGATCCTCGCTGAAGGATTTGTACTGTGCTCATTCCGATTTCGGCCTCCCAGAGAATTCTGTATCATTATTTTTGGAGACCACCTCCGCGTGTCGGGTATCGTAATTCGCGCGCCTGCTGCCTTCCTTGGATGTGGTAGCCGTTTCTCCGGCTCCCTCTCCGGAATCGACTCTGATTCCCGTTACCCGTTTCCACCACGGTAGGCGCAGAACGTGCCCTCGTTGCCAGGGTATACGTAGACATTCGAAAGATTCGTCGCCGGCGCAGAGGTCGTGCGACCCGCCAAGTTATCAAGAGTTTGTCAGGAGAACCGGGCCCACCACCCGCGATGCGGCGGAACACCGAATCGGTGTTGTTCTAATAAAAGCACGAGGTCAGCATCACGTAATAGCTCTAGAATTACCACAGTTTTCCAAGTAAGGAGTAACAATCAAATGAATAATAGCTTATTTAATGAGCCATTCGCAGTTTCACCGTACACCTAGGCTTGTTCTTGGACATGTATGGCTTAAGCCTTCGAAACCGAAAGTATTCTGGTTTCTTTATTCAAGGATGATATCATTATATTAGCTGTGTAATCTGCCGTAACATGTCTTAGTCCTATACGACACCTCTCAAAGTAATAACATTTAAACTTTTTCCTATACTCATTACAGTTTATTTTCATAGAATTAATGTGTAAATATTTACGAGAAAACATGCCCGGTAAAACCACATGGTATCGGTCTAGGCAGACGAACCATTTCAATAAAAATATTACATTTATACTTTGAATTGATTATTTTGAATAGTTGCAATTTCCAATCTTTCAGGGAACGTATCATGATAACATGCTTTTAAAACATTTTCATAAGTAAGTAAACATGCCTAACCTTCTCAAAATAGGTATAACATACCACCTATTCTTTTCAAAATAGGTATAGAGACATAATATATAATACCAACCTCACTCGCATTTGCAGGTAAACAACTTCACAGGCAGAAAGGTTACAAAAAGGTTGGTCCATGGGAATATAATAACGGCCAATCATTTGCAAGATACGTTCAAGTAGATGATCATCACATCATAGTTCCCAAGACTGGCATTTACTATGTGTACAGTCAGGTGTGTTTTACTTATGACTCCAGTGAATAGTTCAGTCAGTTATAACACATTTACG